TTTTCTCGACGATGTCTATGTGACCGGCTCCCCTCAACACCAGCAAGGTCAGAGTTTGGAACCAAGCCGGGGCCACGCCCCCACACATCCACAGCCCAGGCCCCGAGGTTTGGGTTGGCAACCTCAACCTGCCAGCCGCTGAACGCGGCTTGATGATACTGGGCAATCTGCTTGGCACGGTTCCCCACCAGCACCACCAACTGACCCAATTGAGGGCCCAGCATGACCAGCTCCTGAACCGAATCCCAGTCCTCGACAATCTGCAGACCTCGTGGCTGCTATATTGTGCCAGTCCCCGGTGCAACTACCAACTTCGGATGACCCCGCCGGAGACCACCGCCAGTTTTGCGGCAGACCACGACCTTGCCCTGGCAGCTTGCTTCAACCGACTGCTCGACTCGGTTCCGGTCCCACCTACCCTTGCACTTGGGGGGCCTGGGCCTTACCTCCGCATCGGCTTTGGGCGCCTTGGGCCGACACAATCCGAGTTACCCGGCCATCCAGCACCAATTCAACCATCCAGACGAAGCCACACCATCCGTCCCGGCAGCAGTCAACTGTGCCGCGCAACTTCGGCAACACGGATGGGAACGCCCAAGCTGGGAACAGCTGGCAAGGGGAGAAGTGTGATCTGAAGCGGTCCAAGAGCAAGGGCCCTCCGTGGCCCACGGGTCCCAACACCACTTACCCCACACACTTGTTCTGCCTGCTGCTCCTTCGCTTGTTCTGCCTGCTGCTCCTTCGCCGTGTGCGGCTCCCACTCCCCTTGACCGCGCGCCAGTGCCGGTGCCGTCGCACTCTTGACCCCTTCGGCGTCCACCAGGCTGTGTGCCCACAAGCGGGAATCTTGCGAAGCAGAGGTGCCCCCTGGAACGCGCAGCGGCCACGATCTGCCGAGAAACCCGCGCCCGGGTCACCACCCATATCCGCGTTGCGGACCTCAACATTGACCAGTTCCACCGCCACGGTGACCGCAGAATCGAAGTCATTGAAAATGTTTTGAACTTGTGGGGTGGCGCCCAATTAGCCATTGACACAACTTTATCACGAAAGCTAGCATCAGCTAGCTGGAGTTGCTCTTGCTTTAGCAAGTCAAGGGCTCGCAGCCTCGAGAATCATGAATCACGTGAAAACTTCACGTGTAGGGCCCCCTCCCCCCCCGCGGGTTCAACTCCCCCCTGGGACGCTTCCGGAACGTGCTATAGTCCTATGTTTAGGTGGCAGGTGAAGTAGGCCACTGTTTGAGTTTGGAAGCGGGGGCATGAAACATTAAATTTACGCGAGGGTTCAAGGCTTCAATGATGAGCGTCACGGGAAGTCAGAAACCAGGCGTATCAGATACACGTGCCTTTGAGCTTCCTTCGGCATCTCAGTGCATATGGCTGACACTTCACTCGACAAAGATGCTCAAACAAACATACATAAACCAGGTGTATCTGATACGCCTGGTTTGTGACTTCCCGTGATGCTCATGATGCTGCGTTGCTTTTCTTCAGTCCCTCATTACATATACATGACGATCCAACAGCAGATTCAACAAGCTCACATGTTCATGACATCGACATTGATAGAAGAAACCAAACAAATCATGCAAGCAGCTTTGTTTTGCCTCTGGGACACCTCTTGGGCACCTCTTATGGCATCCACACTGGTTCAGGTTCGTGAACACATCAGATGCATCGAACAGTGTGGCAAAGTCCAGCCACGCTTCCTTAATTATCGGGGACTTCAATTCTAAGGTTGGCTGTGTCATTGCTGTTTGTGTGTCTTACATGTTCACAACGTTTTACCTCATGAGCATTTGCCTCACTCCGCTTGATGTCCCACCAGTCCGGATGCACCCCTGCTAGCTTTCGTCACCTACCCTCGGCCTCAAGTTGTCCCCCTTCACTCGGGACGGACAGCCGCAGGCACCAACCGGGGGGCAGCCCTCCACGCAGCACGACGGAGCAAAGAATGAACATATCCCGAACTTCTGGCGACCCGCCGGTGCAGTGCTCGCCATCGAAGCCGAGGGCAGGTGGAACCAAGAAGCGGTCAACTTCATCCGGCTCTTGGCCAAGTCCAAAGCCCGGCAAGCCCCCGCCATGCTGCAACCAGCCATCCCAACCGCCTTGGTCTCCAGGTGGTCAACCCTCCTAAGCCACGCCGCCAGCCAGACTTTTGCAGCCACCCTCCTCACTGAAGAATTGTCCCACCAGCACAACAACATCGACAACAACCTCCCCTCCATCAGCCAACTTCTCGCGGAATCCCCGCTGACACCCCCCACCTCCAGCCGCCTAACCCCATAACAGTGGATTTTGTACATCTGGAGACTGACTGGCTAGTAAAAAACAGTCCTGTGCAGCACTTCTGGCGACGGGCGAGTATACAAACCGTCCAGCCACACCGAGACCCATGCAAGAAAAAGGTTGGAGGGAAGAAAACAATAGTTTAATTTACCACAAGAGAACAGATCAGCAGCAGCTTAACAGTCTTGTCCGTTGACGGCATCTACGACAACATTTCCCGAAATTGTATGCTCCGTGGCCTCCATGCCGTGCCAGAAGCCAATGCCAGCCTGCCATTTGTGCGCGTGTTTTACACCCAGCCCTCCCAGTACGTCTGGCACGATGCTGACGGCCAAGCCCATACCATCACCCAAGCTGAGGGCGGGGAGCAAAGGAGATCCCTTGATGCCAGCGCTTTTCGCCCTGGGACAGAGGTCGCCACTCCAAACTGCACAGGAGCACCTTCAACCCGGAGAGCTTCTCTTCGCTTTCCTGGATAATGTGTACGCCCTGGTCCCACCGGCTCGGGTCCGCCCCGTGTTTGACCTTCTCGAACAAGAACTCCGAGCGCAAACCCACATCCAGCTCCAAGGCAAAACCAGAGTGTGGAATGCATCAGGCACCCGCCCACCACACATCGACCTGCCGGCCACCCAAGCAGCCAGCGCAGCAGCAGCCAGCATCCGGGCCCACGGCTGGGAACCGCCAGCGTGGCACAACTCCCGTGCCGCGTTGCGATGCACCAGCGCCTGCGGGCCTTCCAACCCGAGGATGGCAACAACCTGCTGCTGCAGCCATGCATGCGACACACCGGGCCGAAGTCCGCAGCAATTTGCCGCCAGCCAGCCAGGCCCTGCTAGATTCGCAGAGCGGCCTGTATGCCAGCCGAGTTTTCACCACCATTCCTTACGGCCCAGATTCCACCTACACCTCGGAAGCCTTTCGCCTGCTCCTGCTCCGCAGGCTCTGCTTGCCATTGCCTTTGTCCGCACGGACTTGTCGTTGCCGTCGCACTTTTGACCCTTTCGGCGACCATCGATCAGCCTGTGCACAGTCAGGGCTCTTACGCAGCCGGGGCGGGCCGCTCGAACGCGCGGCAACACGAAGATGCCGAGAAGCAGGGGCCCGTGTGACATCCAACACACGGGTTGCCGATTTGAACATCCCCTCCGTTCACACCGTCGATGACCGTCGCATCGAAGTCATCGCCAACGGGCTGCCATTGTGGGGTGGTTGCCAGCTAGCTGTCGACACAACATTGGTGTCGCCCTTGACCCGGGACGGCCAAGCCAGACAGCGCCAAGGCCGATATGCTGGCGCAGCCTTGCGCGATGCTCGGCGCAACAAAGAGCGGGTCTACCCAGAACTGGTCAATGGTGGCCGCAGTCGGTAGATGGAGCGAAGAGTCTTGCACCTTCCTCCGCCTATTGGCTCAACACCGGGCCCGTCAAGCCACACCCCTGCTGCGACAAGCCGTGGCATCAGCCTTGCTCAGCCCCTTGTCAGCTATGCTTTCACATGCGGCTTTCACAGCAGATGCAGCATCCCTTCAGGGCTTGGATTCGGCCCCACACACCAACGTCGAAGGCCAACCCCTCCCCCCCCCTCGGCCAACTCCTCGCACAAGACGGCCTCGACGCAACCCCGCCAGCCAGCCGTCTCCCAGCCCCTTGACACACCCCCTGCCACTTCTAGTCGACTGCCTGGATTATCCTTTCTGGACTTTCTTCCTTCGCGGCCTTGGATTTGGGCCACACTCCGTCTCACCCTGTACATACTCCGTCTCACCCTGTACATAACCCGCCGTTTCACCTTGTGCCATATTTCCGTCTCGCCTCTGACTTGCCATTGCAGGAGACAAAGAATCAAAAAAGATTTCATAACACACGGCAGCTATGAAAACATCCATCCAATTTGCCTGATTGGCTTCGCTTTCCCAGAGCATGCACCTGTTTTATAAACAACAAAAACACACACACAAAAATAGAACAACCAAGAATTGAGTTGGAAGGGTGCTGCCGATGCTGCGTGCAGTGCTTGGGGTCCCTTTTTCCCTTCGTTCTTTGATGGTTCCAGCCCCAAATTTTTGTTTAGTGTGACTTATTTCAGGGACCCAAGCCATAGTTGATAGTCTCAACCCAAAGTTCGCGTTTCGGCCAACGAACCAACTTTACGGTAAATAGGTCTGATTTCTCCGAACGAATGTTTTCCACGATAAATAAAGTATCAAACAGATCCGAGGTGATCACATGAAGACAGGAAGTTTCCCTGACGTTCTACGTTTTTGAAAACATACAGCACATTGGAAATTTTTCTAGGATCACGATTTGACATCAACCTCTCCGACAAACTCGAGGAACTCCGGCGAACTCACAGTTTCACACCCCTGACTGGGATTGAGTCGATTGCATGCAGTCGAAGACAGCACCAAATAAACAAGTCACTCAGCAAGAACGATTACAAGTAAAAAACCGCCGTTGTTCATCGGATCATTCTTCCAATGCTTAACGGGGAATTTTGGCAGAACATGGCCGGAGGCCGCGGATTTCACAGACCGAATTGAGTGAAGGTGATGCACGGGGGCGGAAGGCGGCCAACTGGGATCGATGGGCACGTGACCTACCTGCAGCCATTTGGAGCGACACACAGGCGTGCCAGGACCAATGGCAAACAACACATTTTTTGTTGTCCCTTTTTGATCTCGTATCTTATACGTAGATTCCCATTGTTGCATGGTCGGCGCTGGTGTTTTTGCCATGGTGTTGTTGGAGCCATGGCTTCTTGCGTTGGCAACCCGCCACGCGAAAACAGCGCAATGATCAATGATCATTCCACCCGCCAGTGTCCTGGCAGTGCCTGTGTTTGTTCACCACACCGTCCTGACAACAACTTCGGGTTGGCTTGCAGTCAGGGTTTTGCTTGTGAGGCCGCAGGGCAGGGTGCAAGATTGCTGCTTCCCCGGGTTCCATGTTCAGCTGCACATTGGGATCTCTGTGTGCAGCTGCCAAGGCCAGCCCCGCAGGCCACTTTTAGCATCTTGGCTGGTCAGATGTAGTAGAAAATGATCACAAAACAGAAATGACGGTTCTTCTTGTCATTGTTTTGTTTGTAAATAGGTGGGTGCCTGCTTGGTCAGTTGCGCTCTAGTTGCATTTTTCGCTGTTTTCCCCAGTTTGGCACACCGCCCGGATGTCGCAATTGAAACATTTCACGCTAGGAACGCCTGTCCGAAGAATTGTTGTGAGATTAGCTTGGTTGTGCGGTGTTCATTAGGTGGCAGTGTTCCAGAGCCAGATTCTGAAGTCGCGCCCCCTGAAGACGATGTGCCGTCCCCAGCACATGTTTGGCGTTCCGTGTTTTTTGCTGTCAGAACTTTGAGGTTCCACTGGCACCTTGGGCTGCGGCGCGCGCAGCGACCCTAACTTGTTCGCAGAACGCACATGCGAACAGCAATTTGCCGGACAAAATGCGTAATGATGAATGCGCACACACACAAATGTACGGCACACATGTAAATTACAAAGTGAGGGGCAGCTCATGGGGCCAGGCTGAAACTAATTTTAGCGAAAAACAACCTTTTTAGGGGCATCATGGGGAAGGGATAGAGATGGCCTAACATGATGGTTTTCGAAGACAAAAATATCATTTGCCAGGGTGTGTAACACGATTACTGCCGGCTTTCGTTCATTTTCTGCTCAAGGGCTCATTTGGCTGTCAATTCGGGCCGCGGCTTGCATACTTCACATGCAATGCGCCAACCAATCGGCATTTCGAACTAGCGAAGGTGAGTCCAACGGGTCCATCCTTTGACGTTTTCGTTTTAAGTTTCCCCATTAGTATATAATTAAAAACGCGCGACCCGTCAGGGGCTGATCCAACCAATTTGTTTTGCCAAGTTTGGTTTGAATTCCCTAGCGGGCTCGTGGCCCAGATTTCCACGATCGCTTTCAGTCAGGCCCAGTTTTGTGTACAGATTTTGCATTCAGCGGGGCAACTTGATTAGTTGTTGTTTTGGATGCCAGTCATGCACACCAGTGACCATTTGGCACAGTTGGCCCACTGATTTGTTGATTTTTTGCCTTGCCGGTTTGACTCTGTCCTCGCAACCGTGTGTGTCAAGAAGGAACTCCAATCAGTTCGGCACATGCTTTCAACCTGCGGGCATGTATGAATGGCACTTGATGCACGAAGAACGTGTTAAAACCTTGTGGACCGTGGAGTGGGATGTTTCAACTGGGGTTTGGTGTTTGAGCCAAATTGGGCCGCAGGAGATGGATCAAATTGACAAGAACCTGTAACAATTGAGAGTTTCAATCAATCATCCTGGAACTGCAGAATTTGGGAATGCGAATCAGAAAAAAAAGAATTGTGCAAGGTCTTGCCTACATCGCATGCCCGGCGAACAAGGTTGTTGGCGTTTGCTTGGAGAGGGGTGATGCAAATGTGAGTTTGTAGGCGTGTTTCCACACCAGCTGGACGTTTTGTGGTCGGAAACCAAGAAATCGTTGGCAGGTGCATTTCAGATTCCAGCTCCTGTTGGAACTCCGTCTTTCTTTCTTTCTTTCTTTCGTTCCTTCGTTCGTTCTTTCTTTCTTTTCCCCAGATAGCAAAGCTATGGGGTTCTTACTTAAAATAACAGTGAGTTACCCGTGCGCGCTTTCGAGGCAGGTTGCTGGTGCTGGGTGCCGGTGCTGGCGCTGGTGCTGTGAGCTGGCTGTGCACGTGGTGGAGACAGGTTGCTGGTGCTGGTGCCGGGTGCCGGTGCTGGTGCTGTGAGCTGGCTGTGCACGTGGTGGAGGCATACCCTCACCTAGTAGGGTCCAGAATGGGAGACCCTCGAGGGATAGACTGGTTGGGGTCTAAGATGGGTCCCGCTACCATTGTGGACCTTTTCGCTTGATCACTGTAGACAATTGAACGGGAGTCAGAATTTCATGATTAACTTCTTAAATCAGCTCGACGTGACGTCACATGACAAGGTCTAGATTGGTTTTCCCTTAGCGGGGGAAAATGATTTCAGACCCCCTCCAGAATTCCCGGTCTGAGGGTCTAGGACTTAAGCACGATCGGCCGCAAGGCCTAGTGAATAAGACGATGGACCCCACCTTTGGGGGTCTACAAAGCAATACCCGTTGGAAAGCCCATACTTTTTCCCAGACGTCAGGGACATTTTATTATTATGATTTTTTCTCGCACCGAACCTCAGTCACAGGATTCCAAAAATAACACAAAAAAATTTAAGGACATGCAATTCCAATGTTGACGCAGGAAAAATAAGAGATATTGAAAAAACAAATCATTGGGAATTCCTAGAAGGATGGAATGGTTCAGCACAGGATTTCACAACAGTTTCATTGCCTCTCCTGTAACAATAGAGTAAGGTCTGACCCAGGAATTTAATATGTTGGTTGGTCTAGAGTCTAGCAAGGATGCTTTCTTTTATGTAAATCCTGTGCCGACGCAAGGCGAACCTCCGAAGTCGATCAACATGGTTCTTTGCACAACACACACTCAGAGAGATCATCGACCGATTCCAACAGTAGACTCTGCCAGTCCCAAAAGTCTGTATCCCCACTGCTGCGAATGGCGGCCCACACTGAATCTTCTCCAACCAAGTGAGCCATGTCATGACCTGTGCCCGGAGAAGGTTAAAGAATGGGAGTGGATTTAGGGCCTCCAACCTACTAGCGATGGCCTCCACCTAGAAGCGTTCTTTTGAAAAATAACACAAAGAATGAGAGTGGCTTTGGTTCCGTTGTGAGGACAAGGAGGGCAGGGACACCCCTGAACCAGGACTTTAATATGCCAGGATGTTTGTTACACATGAGCTTCTTCAACCTCTGTACTAGGATTCCATAAAACAGGTTGACGCAGGATTCCATAAATGCTCAAAACCCTCAAGTATTTTTTGGCTGCCAACCTTGGCACACAAAAAAATAAAGGAATGACCTCAGCCCGAAAGGATTTTATATAATAAAATCCTGCGTCAAACCTTTAGCGTACCTTCCTACCAGTATAAAGCAACCATCAAGGGTCCCACCAAGTAGTTGAGGGTATGTGGAGGCAGGTTGCTGGTGCTGGTGCTGGCGCTGCTAATACTCTGAACTGGCTGTGCAAGGTTGCTGGTGCTGGTGCCCGGTGCCGGGTGCCGATGCTGGTGGTGGTGCTGTGAGCCGGTGCTGGTGCTGTGAGCTGGCTGTGCACGTGGTGGAGACAGGTTGCTGGTGCTGGTGCCGGGTGCCGGTGCTGGTGCCCGCTTCTGACAGTGAAGTGATAACAACCGCCGCTTCTGACAGTGAAGGGTAACAAACCGCCGCTTGCAGCAGTGAAGGGCGACCAAGCGCCGCTTCGGACAATGACGTGCCAGCAGTCATGGGCCGCATGAACTTATGCGCGTAACATCATACGGTGTTGTCGCTTGAGCGTTCTTTGTCTATTAGCGCTGTGGGGTATTTACACTCTTCAGGTTCTGTTTTGGCCGGCAGCTGTGTCAAGGGCTGTACTGTTTGCGCGCATGCTTTTCTACGTATAGTGTTCTATGCGCAACGTCAGGCTCTCAACCGACCATTGTTCCAGCATGTTTCAGCATGCTACACACACAATAGTCGTGCTGGATGCTGCTTGGCCTTGGATGAGTGAAGCCTACGGGGTTTGCCGTTTGTGCGCATACTTTTGTGCGCATAACCTTTTGCGCGCAAGGTCATGCGGCCTTATCGTCCTGCAGATCGTTGCTTCAAGCGTGCTACAAAGTCAATAGTGGCACTGGATACTGCTTGGCCTTGGGCCAATGACACTTACGGGCCTTGCTGTTTGCGCGCATACTTTTGTACGCATAAACTTTTACGCGCAAGATCATACGGTCATACGTTATTATTCCCCAAATAGGGATAGCTATGGGGTTCTTGCTGCAAATAAGAATGAGCTGGCTGCGCTTTCGAAAGGGTGTCGGTGGTGGTCCTGAATGCTGGTGCTGTGAGCTGGCTGAGCGCGCGTTTAAGACGGGGAGGTCCTGTAAGCTGGCTGTGACGGCTGCGTACATTCTTGGTCCAGCTAGTCGCATGTCAACAGGTCGTAGGATTCTGCCTAGCTATCTGGGTCTATGCTGGTGTAATTTTCATTTTTTCCCAAACAGTTTACTGTTACGGGTTCTCAATTCTTTCTTAAGATGTGTCCGCCCTTTGTGTCACTGCTGGTGTCCGCCCTTTTCGGCTGGCCATGTAGCATTTCTATCCATTTGTCTCCCAGGTCTGTCGCTGCTGGTGTCCGCCCTTTTCCGCTGACCATGTAGCATTTCTATTCATGTGTCTCCCAGGTCTGTCACTGCTGGTGTCCGCCCTTTTCGGCTGGCCATGTAGCATTTCTATCCATTTGTCTCCCAGGTCTTTCGCTGCTGGTGTCCGCCCTTTTCCGCTGGCCATCTAGCATTTCTATCCATTTGCAACATTTCTATTCACTTGTCTCCCAGGTCTGTCACTGGTGGTGCGGCCCTTTTCCGCTGGCCATGCAGCGTTTCTATTCATTTGTCTCCCAGATCTGTCAAGCAGTCCGCCCTTTTCCGCTGACCATGTAGCATTTCTATTCATTTGTCCCCCAGGTCTGTCACTGCGGTGTCCGCCTCTGCCTTGCAATCCTTTACATTTGTCTCCCAGCTCTGGGCTGCGGTGTCCGCCTCTGCCTTGCAATCCTTCACATTTATCTCCCAGCGCCGGGCTGCTCTGTCCGCCTCTGCCTTGCAATCCTTAGACCTTTGAACGGTAGTCACTCAGAATTTCATGATTACCTTTTTAAATCAGCTCGACATGACGTCACATGACAAGGTCTAGATTGGTTTTCCCTTAGCGGGGGAAAATGATTTCAGACCCTGTCCAGACTTCCACGGTCTGAGCATCTAGGACTTAAGCACGATCGGCCGCAAGGCCTAGTGAATAAGATGACAGACCCCACGTTTGGGGGTCTACAAAGCAACCATCGAGGGTCCCACTAAGTAGTTGAGGGTATGTGGAGGCAGGTTGCTGGTGCTGGTGCTGGTGCTGCTGTTGCTGTGAGCTGGCTGTGCAAGGTTGCTGGTGCTGGTGCCCGCTGCCGGGTGCCGATGCTGGTGGTGGTGCTGTGAGCCGGTGCTGGTGCTGTGAGCTGGCTGTGCGCGTGGTGGAGGCAGGTTGCTGGTGCTGGTGCCGGGCGCCGGTGATGGTGCCCGCTTCTGACAGTGAAGTGATAACAACCGCCGCTTCTGACAGTGAAGGGTAACAAACCGCCGCTTGCAGCAGTGAGGGCGACCAAGCGCCGCTTCTGACAATGACGCGCCAGCAGTCATGGGCCGCGTGAACTTGTGCGCGCAACATCATACGGTGTTGTCGCTTGAGCGTTCTTTGTCTATTAGCACTGTGGGGTATTTACACTCTTCTCTTCAGGTTCTGTTTTGGCCGGCAGCTGTGCAAGGGCTGTACTGTTTGCGCGTTTTTTTTAACGTAGAGTGTTCTATGCGCAACGTCAGGCTCTCAACCGACCATTGTTCCAGCATGTTTCAGCCTGCTACACACAATAGTCGTGCTGGATGCTGCTTGGCCTTGGATGAGTGAAGCCTACGGGGTTTGCCGTTTGTGCGCATACTTTTGTGCGCATAACCTTTTACGCGCAAGGTCATGCGGCCCTGTCGTCCTGCAGATCGTTGCTTCAAGCATGCTACAAAGTCAATAGTGGCGCTGGATACTGCTTGGCCTTGGGCCAATGACACTTACGGGCCTTGCTGTTTGCGCGCATACTTTTGTACGCGTAAACTTATACGCGCAAGATCATACGGTCATACGTTTTTATTCCCCAATATGGGGTTCTTGCTGCAAATAAGAATGAGCTGGCTGCGCTTTCAAAAGGGTGTCGGTGGTGGTCCTGGGTGCTGGTGCTGTGAGCTGGCTGAGCGCGCGTTTAAGACGGGGAGGTCCCATAAGCTCGCTGTGCAGGCTGCGTACATTCTTGGTCCAGCGGGTCAACAGGTCGTGGGATTCTGCCTAGCTATCTGGGTCTATGCTGGTGTAAATTTTCATTTTCATTTTTCCCCAGATGGCGAAGCTATTGGGGTTCTTACTTCAATTAACAATGAGTTGCCTGCGCGCGCTTTCGAGACAGGTTGCTGGTGCTGGGTGCCGGCGCTGGTGCTGTGAGCTGGCTGTGCACGTGGTGGAGACAAGTTGCCGGTGCTGGGTGCTGGTGCCGGTGCTGGTGCTGGGCGCCGGGTGCTGGTGTGCTGGCGCTGTTGCTGGCGGTGCTGGTGCCGGGTGCCGGTGCCGGTGCTGGTGCTGGTGCTGGGTGCTGGTGCTGGTTGCATATGTGAGCGGGTCTATTTTCGGATGTTTTTTGTCCAGATAGCGAGGCTATGGGGTTCTTACTTCAAATAACAAGAGCTGACTGGGTGCCAGTGCTGGGCGCCGGTGCCGGGTGCTGGTGCGGGCTGTGGCGCCGGCGCTGGGTGCTGTGAGCTGGCTGCGCGCGTGGTGGAGACACGGTGCCGGGGCTGGGTGCTGGCAGTGCGCGTGGTAGAGAGACAGCGGGCTTCTGACAGTGAAGTGATAACAAACGCCGCTTCTGACAGTGAAGGGTAAACAAACCGCCGCTTGCAGCAGTGAAGGGCGACCAAGCGCCGCTTCTGACAATGAAGTGCGAGCAGGGCCGCATGCCCTTATGCACGCAACATTCTGTTGTCGCTTGAGCGTTCTTTGTCTTTTAGCGCTGTGGAGTATTTTACACCCTTCACGTTCGTTCTGTTTTGGCCGACTGACAGCTGTGTCAAGGGCTGTACTGTTTGCGCGCGCATACTTTTGCAGGTATAATGTTCTATGCGCAACGTCAGGCTCTCAACCGACCATTGTTTCAGCATGTTTCAGCATGCTACACACAATAGTCATGCTGGATACTGCTTGGCCTTGGGCGAGTGAAGCCTACGGGCTTTGCCGTTTGTGCGCACACTTTTGCGCGCATAAACTTATATGCGCAAGATCAGACGGCTTTATCGTTCTGCAGATCGTATGCTACAAAGTCAATAGTGGCGCTGGTTACTGCTTGGCCTTGGGCCAATGAGACTTACGGGCTTTGCTGTTTTCGCGCGTACTTTTGCGCGCACAAACTTGCACGCGCAAGATCATACGTTGTTATTCCCCAAGTAGGGATAGCTATGGGGTTCTTGCTGCAAAAAAAGAGCTGGCTGCGCGCGCTTTCCAAGGGCGTCGGTGCTGGTGCTGGTCCTGGGCGCTGGTGCTGTGAGCTGGCTGAGCGCACGTCGAAAACGGGCGGCGGCGCTGGTCGGGCGCTGGTGTCAGCTGATTGTGCGCTCTGTGGAGGTGTCGTAAGCTGGCTGCGCACGCTGCGTGCCTTCTTGGTCCAGCCAGTCGCATGTCAACAGGTCGTGGGATTCTGCCTGGCTATCTGGGTCTATGCTGGTGTAATTTTTTATTTTTATTTATTTATTTTTTCTTCTTGTTGCATTTCCTTCATGTCGTTCACAATCCTGCCACAAAACTATATCCATGCATGGGGATCTGCTCCTGGAAGATAGGCCTTAAGTTCGTATGACAGACGATCAACAACGAATGTGGTCTTTGCCATGAAGTGTGCTTTCTGCAGCTTTACTATGTTTTTCCCGATTTCTTTCCAAAGCCTAGCCCATGATTATGTGCCTGGTATTTCCGAGTCATGTTTCAGGGCCTTGTTAGTTTCAGGTCTGTGTAGAGAAAAGCGAACTTTTGAGCCTGTCACCTGAAAATATTCCAAAAAGCTTCGGCACAGGTTCAACAAAAGGTTTCGACGCGATGCGGGATCCAAGGGTGACGAGCAGAAGCAGTTGGCTCGATGGGCCGGGGCCCGCAACAACGTGGCAGATCTATTTTTTCAATCCCCAGCGTCCGAGGCAGAACATCTCAATGAGGATGGGTGGTGAGTGGTCTAAATCACTTGCAATCCCCCGTAAGTGCCTGTGTGTGGGCCCGCACAGGCATGAAAGGTGCCATTGCTTCGAATCATTTATGGTGCAGGAAGTGCTGGCTTTGACTCGGGAAAGAGCGCGGGCCTCGTATGATGTGGCCAGACAGGCATTTGTCGCTTCGCCAGTGTGCTTGTGAGGACAGTTTGGCGGGAAAGTTGGCCGCAGCCTAAGTTTGATCGTTTACCTTTCGTTCGTCAGTAAGCTGGTCCCGCGCTTGCATGCGCAGGCTGATGCCAATGCTGCAAATGTAAAACTGCAGATGGAGCCCATGGCTGAACTTTTAGCTTCTGGAGGGTGAATGACAATGAAGTATTGAGACGCGATCCATTGGGAAATTGGAACGTGACACAAAACAAACTTTTTCTTGTGAGAGTCTAGAGCTGAGGTTGGAGCATCTTCGCAGGGTAAGTGCTGAGTTCCCCGGCGTAAGTTTGTTTTTGTACTCTTCCAGGCATACTTCCGCCTATGGTTGCGCAGGTTTGAGCGTCTTGGGGGCGGCTCGCAACATAGTTTCTGGCAATCAGCATTGACAATTTGTTGATGCTTGTTTCCTTTAGAATGTCCTTAGGTGATGTTGGCGTTCTAAATGCAATCGTCGAAACCCGCGATCTTGAAAAGCAGCGAGCCACTTAGAGCCGCGAAAACATGTCCAGCACCTCTAGGAACAGCAGGAAGAGATTTGGGGAGGTACGCTTGCATTCTCTCAGGCTTCAAGCCTCTACCGCTGAAGTTCAAGAGCTTCGGACTGAGCGGAAAGGCCAGACTTGGAGTTGTGGGCCATGTTGCCCCTGTATGATTGAAAACATTTTTGGAGTCTGCGACAAGCCACGTTTGTTACAGACAAAGCTGTGCAAGGCATTGACGCAGCGCACGCATTTTCACAACAGGCGGACTGTCTTGAAAGCAAAAATGGGGCCATATGTTTTTTCGCTCTGCAGATGGTGCAGCAGTTGCACAAAGAAATGGAAGAGTCAAGAGCCTATGTAATTACAAGAGATCGTTCAACCAGCTGCAGCCAATGCCTCATCGTGTTTGAGCAGAGCTGAGGCTGCGGGGAAGGCACAAGAACTTGCAAGATCAATATGAGAATTGTCTGGGTCATAGTGATATGGCGTGGCCTGCTTCGACTCCAGGTGTTTGGACCAATTGACATTGATAGAATGGTGTTGTACAACTTCCCAACAAGGGACTATCTCCGAGGAGAGTTCAGGAGACTGAACACTGCACTCAGCGCCAAGTCTGAGAGCCATGTTACTAGCCACTTGGAGGATCCAATGCCACCCAAACCTCTTGCACAGCAGAAGCAACCAACAAACTCACCAAAGGACGGAGGAGCGTGTGCGTCTTTTGGAGCGAAAGCGAAAGAGGGATAGCCTCCAAACAAGATAGACAGAAGGCATGCGTCACATATGTGCTCCCTCACTTCTTTTGAAGATCGCAAGCTTTTGGACCGTCGCGAGGTGCTTATACTGCAAAAACCGAGGGGGCCTTCTTGAGAAGAGAACAAGCTTGGTGCTATCGTCGCTGCAGGTCCAGCCTAGACCCTACCCTGCTCAGTGCACCTGGCTAGGCCCTGCCCCGAGGTCCTTCCTGAGGTCCTGGGACTTCGGATCCCCGGCCAATAGGCCTAAAAATATCGCTGGGACCGGGCTTCTTTGCACTGTAATTTGCTTGTCATCTCTACCTTTCATCCACCTCATCTGCACTCAGCTGTTACAACCCCTCCTTTATTCAATGGACAAAACAGGACATGAGAGTTACAATTTTTCAAAATTTTCCAATCCAAGAAGCGTGTTGATTCTGTGGAAGCGAGGGGATTTCAAGTTGTCAGAATTGGCGTTGTCAAATAAGGCAAGGCTGAATGCAGTCGTCTCAACGATTTGCATGGACGGATCCTTAGTCTGGTCCTGCAATATTTGGTATTCAGATGCGTGAAGAATGTTTGGGTCTTCTGAGAGTAGAGAGGCTACTCTTGCTGTCCTTTCTTGCTTTTGTTTGCTGTCAGGTCTGCCCGTTGGACATGGCATTGTTCTACACTTCCTTCCTTTGTACATCACCTGTGCACTTGAACCCCACTTTAGAAGCTGGCATGGCTAGACCTTGCGTTTCTCCAGACTATGTAGAGCCACCTGCCTCTCGCTTGTCATACCGACTGTCATACCTGTTGTTCGATAGCACGGCGCCATTGTTGACTCCGTTTTGCCTGTTCGCTTGGCTTGCTTTGGGTGTTTGGCAAGTCATTGTTGGTAATCCGTATCACCACTGCACCACATTTGTGTTTGGCCAATCCTTGCAAGCAAAGGAAGCGAGCGAGAGCACCGACGCAGACTTGAGCTCAATCCTCAGAGCCTGTAGGCACTTCCTCCGTCTACATAGTCGTAAATGTAACTATTATATAGCCGCGGCGATTGTCCCCGAAACATTGGAACAGTAAGTGGCGAAGCTTCTGTGAGACCCTACTAGTACCCTAAAAGGATGCTGCTAAAGTTCTTAAAGATCCCAATCTATACCTTCGGGGTGTGGTGTTTAAGCAGGGCTGTGTTTCTTTTCTTCATTGCGAGGTCCTAGCATGTCCACTTCAGCTCGTGTTTCGCTTAAGGTCCCACCTTCAAAACCAGAGCAGTGACAAGGAGGCAGCAGCATCTGCCCGGCAGGAGCACTCGTTCCCTTTGGTTGGACAGTTTTGCGATAGCGGTAAATTCTATTTAATTAAAGTTACTTGTTACTTACTAGTAGCGATGCCCTTTGCTCCTAGTAGCGTCCTTGCTTTTGCGATACACGGCGCACCTTTACACTTGAAACTTGGCACCGGAGGAGTTTTTCCAAAAAGAGCATCGAAAGGCGACTCTTAGCGGTGCTTGGCCGCAGTTTCACTCTGTGTTGGTCCAGGCTTGGGACGATCTGCAGCGTGCACATTGGGTAGAGAAGGAGAAGGCAAGATCAACACGTGGAGGATGGATTGTGATGAAGTAAAGATCTTCCGTTCCCCAAAGGTTTGTAGCCTCTCCCCTCCAACTTCGTGATTCTGCAGCAGTTTTCCTAACAATCGTTGCTTTGCACTATGCCCGTTTCTTGATTCGTGCCCTGTGGCGTGAAGCGCGAAAAGTACTATATAAATAAACTTAAATCAGCGCTTCAATTTTTAGCGTCTCAGTTTTGGGGGATTTGGTAGTTTGGCTCAAGGTATCTGAGGTTCAGGCCTTTCTTTCATCTCCCCTTTTTTGACACTATGGAAGCTGTAACTGTAGCGCTTTTCCTGGCCACTGGCCAGGATGCCAGATTCCAATCAATTACTCAGCTGGCGCAGGGTGCTCGCTCACTACTTGTACTGTTCGGTTGTACATGTTCCGTTGCCTCAGTGGGTTGGTGTGTATTACATGTACTGAGGCAAGACGCGATAGCCTTGGTGTCTGAATTGCAGGCTGTGCGTGAGTGCTCTTGCATCAGGAAAGCGTAAAGATGTAGAGGTTGCCATGATTTGCTTGCAGGATGGCTTTGTGGAGCAAACCAAGAAGTACAATGAGCCCGACACAAAGAGCAAAGCGGCAAAAGCGTAGCACACGGATTCCAGCCAACCCCAACTCCAGGCTTTCAAAGAGCGTCCGCAACCAACAGAGAGAATTGACGTCGGACGTGCAAGAGGCCACGTGGCAGGGTTGGTAGCTTTAGCTGGAACATCGTGCAGTCACACTTAGCAGCAACTTTCAACGCTGTCAGAGATTTCAGAGGCGCAGCAGTTAGCTCAACTTTCAGAACAGTTTGCTCTAGAACTTCGACAACTCTTAGGCGAGACTGCTAAGCTTCCATCACTTGTCAGTCAAAGTCAAGCAAGTGCTCCCTGACACTCTTGAAAGCAAATAATGTTATTAGGTTGGAGGCCATGGCTATTATATAATAGGTTGGAGCCATTGCTATTAAAAGGTTGACGTCACACTGTTGAGCTGGATTTTCAAAACGCCAGCCCAAGGCCGCACGCGTGAAACAAACTCGGTGGGTGAGGCCAGGATCAGAGCATGTTTGGAGGTTTGTCTTTAGAGGTGTTTCTTGTTCCGTCACGAGGAGCAATGGCGTCAAGAAGCTCATAAGCTTGAAGACCAGCTCCGAAACCTTACCCTGTCTGGAAACTCACATCATGGCAGCACGCATGGTTTGCATACCATATGAATCCAAATGTCCTCACCCATATCATGACGAGGCATCACAGAGAGGCTGCAAAGACCGTTCGCGAGCTGCGCAAGGTCCGGAGGTAGTCGCATGTGGCTTGTAAGGCCTCGCAGCGCAGACATCCTGGGTTCCATTGGAAGGCGGATGATCACCACAAAGTTCAACAATCTGAGCGCATGCAAGCAGAGAAGGAGCGTCAAGAGAGGAAGCGAGAACGCGGGGTGCCCAATGTTTGTCACTCTGGTGCGCATTGATATGAAGATGGCCAAGCTTCTCATCACTCACTGTGGATTTTTCAGGTCATGAGCTTTTCAGCAACCCAAACATCGTCAGACAAATGGCTCAGGCGTAGGGTTTGCAGGGCTTCGAGCTTTGCTATCAGTTTGTGAGTAGCTGAGGCAGTCGCTGGAATTGAAGTGTACAAGGTGGCACCGTGCTCAGTTCAGTTGATTTCTATAGAAGTTCAAGCACCCAAAACTGCCAACACTTTGCAGCTGTTGCATGGTGGCTTTCTGAGGATGAGAAGAATCGCAGAGAAAAGCCTCAAACCCATGTGCAATTCGTGCCACGCCGATATTGCGTCTCGCTTGTCCTCGCTTGATGCGTTTGAGGCGACGGCTCCGAGTTGTTTGTGACATCAAGTCAGGTCGAGGCGGAGCTGCCGACGAAAGTTGGTAAAGTCAGAAGACTGGAACGTCAGACGTGTGTTGGCTAAACCATGTCTTGCGGCCATTCTAGCCAATCGTTGCGAGAATCCTCTGCAAGACATGCAGGTGGGCCTCGACCTGATCTACAGCTACGTTGGTCAAAGGCCCGTCACAGTTTGATTTCTGCAAGTTGTTGCTCCTGCGTGTGACGCCACGAGAATCAGTTTTTCTTGAGGCTCCGTACCGCGATTGGCCTGACAGAAGTTCCTGCGACCTCACACAGGTTTGAACCCTTGTGATTCAAGCAATGGCGTGTCTCGCTGCAATTTCGAGGTTGTCAGCTTGGGATATGGCTTTGCATCCAGAGCCGGGAGCTTACCGTGGCAACTTACGGCCTATTGCCTTTTGGATCGCGGCTTAGGCTACCTGGCTCTTCAAAGATGTTCCTCCTTACCACTGCTTCTCCGTGCGTTTGTCTTAGCCCAGACGCAGACAGCAATGCAAGAAGAGCGCTGCAAGCCCCTCACTCTCACGTGTTCGAGGCAGACACCGTACCGGACCTTTGATTTCATATGCAGTTCAGACAGAGACGTCGAGGCAGATGGCACAGAAAGCTGAGACGCATATGATGGTTCAGTTCGAAGTGCTTTTGTTATGCTTCCCTTCGCAACTCAAACGTGCAGACCAAGCGCCTTGGGAGGCTCTTGTGCTGGTCATCAGCCGGTTGTGTACCAGGAGCCAACCACGGGCTTTAGCCGTTTGGCTCTTCTGAGCGTTTTGCTTGTAGGAGCCAGGGCTGGCCACTCTACGGTGGGGTTCATTCACACGCAAGGCGCTTCTTCTGAATTGGTTTGTGAGCGGTTTGCCGTGGACAAAGTCACAGACGAACTTCAGGTTTGTGGCTATGAAAGGTTGGACAAAGGTTCAGCCCCAGCCTCACAACTCAAACGAAACCAATTGTCAACTTCAGCGTTTTCAGCTGAGGGTCGCATGCCGAGCAAGCAAGAACACCTTGAGCACACATCTTCTTGAGGCACTCGCAGAGTTCAGGAAGATTTAAAAACTATCGGTCAGCATTATCGGCATGGCAAAAGATCATATAGAATCATGTAGACATGATAAGGTCAGTACTGTTTTGGGAAAACACACTCCAAACTTCACCTTTGCCGTTTCGAAGGCTGTTGCAAAGATGCAGTCTTCATCACGTACTTGACCTCAGACAATTAATTTGATTCAAATCTGTCCGCATTGTTCCTGCATTCCTGTTTGAGCTGCCATGACAAGAGGATCCCAGTGACCTTTCCTTCACTGTCTATTTGCATCTACATATTTACTCTTGAACTGGTGATGCAAACGCTATGTTGCTGCTTTGATGACCTCGTGGGAATGTCGGCGCAATAAGGGCCGAAGCAGGCGACCTCACCGAGTAAGTAGCTATCAGGCTAGGACAGTACGGGGTGTTAGGATCAGGAGACCTTGGGTCAGCTACCAGGAAGCTCCCCCCTGCTTTGCGAGGGCAGGAGAAGCTTCCTTCCGTTCCATTCGGTAGGGAAAAACTCATGGAGTTTGGTGCGCACCAGACGGACGCCGATGGCGTTGTCCTTCTAGATGCGCAGAATGCCGCGTTCTTGCGCGTTTCCCCGGGCTTTAGCAGAGATTGCTGCCTGCCCGTGAAAGCTGTTGACTGCACGATCGTCTGCTGTGCCAATTGTGACCCGCCGCCCAGCGTCATGAACGGAGCGATTTCCCTTCCATCTAAAGATTGAGATTGATGTGGGATAGCAATGAGGCGCTTCAACACCAGCGACGCCAACACTGGTTTGCAGTCGCTAGTACTTGTTTTCGATTTCTTGTTTGAGGGTATGGGTGCTTATCGTTTGGGGGGCTTGCCCCGTGGGATTCAATCTTTTGAGCTGTCTTTAAAGATGGCATCCTTTAAGTTCGTGACAGACATGGACATGGTCCATGGTGATTGTTCTAGAATGCCCGCAACGATTGTTTTCAAGAAGCTGGGTTGCCTGGCCTTCAGCCAGTCTTTGAGGCCCAAGCCACTTGCCACCTCCTCCAAGCGAGACTGAAGTGGTGCGCCACGCTTTGGGTCGAATTGAGCAACTTGGCAATACTCCATACTCTGTCGTGCAGGAGTCGGAGGATCCTTCGCAACAGTCGTTGGAAACTGGGTGAGGAAGCATGGTAGCCAAGGTAGCTGCGACTTTGTGAACTCAAACACGTGTAACCTTCTCACGGATTGTGGTCGGTAGTGCGTCACCTCGTGGCCTTGCGCATGAGGTAGCTTGTACATAAATTGCCAGTGAGCTGCGGGCAAAACTCGCAGCTTGAACAAGTGTGCTTCGAGAAAGTGTGGGGGAGGCAAGATGGCCATGGCATTCTCGAGGTACACGGCACAGTGTTTATTTGTTGCACTGAGTTGCACTGATTCTTGGGCAACCAATGTACAGTAGTGTAAATGGGTGCCACACACATGGAGTGATGCACACAGAGTTCACAAACTGAAATATGGTTTCTGGGTGTTTGATTTAGGAACGAACGCAGCGTTTCGATCCCTTGGCGTGGGGTATATATAGCTGCTCAAGGTTTGCTAGTGGTAGGTACCGATCAGGTTCCTGTACTGTCCAAATGGCTTGGTGTGCCCAGACCCAAGCATTGTGCCATGGACATGGTCACGCTTCTGGAAGTCTAGATCAACTGCAGGTCCGAAGAGTTCTGCTTCTGAGCTTTCTGCTGGTCTATGCGGCCTGGTTTCAGTATTTGAATCATAGAATTATTGGCTGTCACAAACCTTGCCCTAGGACCCCAGCCGTCCGGCTAGGAGTCTCTCCAACGACTTGATTTGGTCCCGCCACGTTGCTTTGGGATTTGGTAAGGTGTACTTCGCAAACTTCGCTAACTTCCTTGGACCTCAGCCAGAGCAAGGCTAGTTGTAGCAAGAAGGAACCGATCCTAGCAGACTCATGGTAAGCCAACAGAAAGAATACAATTTGAGGAGTGGTCGGAGATTTGTGGTTTGTCAGGTAGACGCAGCAAGCCAAGGGCTGAAGCACTACGAACTGATCCTGCAGTTCCTTGGAGGGAAGCATCAGACGCCTTTTTATAAAAGTATATATGTCAATGTCAACCCTCAAACCTTCAGACTTTCCATCGTTCTCAGCCTTTCGCGACTGGAAAGTCTGCACAATTTGGTCCATCCTGTTCCACGTTCCTGCCATTCGCACCAGCTTAGGAGCAAGAGCAGCCAGTCAGCAAGGAAGATCCCAAGGCACAGCCATGCAGAAAGCCGCGTTATGGCATGGTTGAAGCCATGGTAACTTGTTGGGCATTGGTACGCACTCTGGAAGCAAGCAACCCGGGAGGCCATGGAAAATGCTCTGTGGACTCTTTTGACACTGGCATTTTGGATCACATTTTACAGAACAGTCGTCGTTGAGGACACTGACTCGAGAGAGTTGAGAGACTCACTGACGGTAGTTTCTGACTTTTGGCCGCTGTCAGCATGGTGACTGTTCCCAGTAGCGTCCTTGCTCCTAGTAGTATGGCCAGGAGCCCCTAGTAGCGAACATTGCTCCTAGTAGCGATGCCAGGAGCCCCTAGTAGCGTCCTTTTTGTTGCAGGACATGTACCTCAAACAGCAAGCTATCAGAAGTGCTGCGATGATACAAGGCCTTGGCGGATCAGAGGTCCCAATGTTTCCCGTCGGCTTCTCAATGGAACACAAAAACTTTGCCAAACCGTTGATTTTGTAATCTCAGATCCTGAGGTTTGAAAGGACCTGCAAGTGTCTGAGAAATTGAAGCCTCGACACGTGTAGTGATTACGGGCGTGTGCCATGGCCAGGCTATGTTAGGTACCAGCTAGCCTGTGCTCAATTAGCGTGCATTTTGGGCGCTCGATGCTTTTGATTCTGCAAAGTTGTCCAATACCGCATGTTACTTGTTTGATTGATTGTCTGTTTGTATAAAAGCTGTGATATCGAATCCGCTCATTTTCATGCTCTTTCCCGTTTGGTCGTGGCGTTGGGTGCACGTGCCAGCCCCACTTTGCCATGCATTGTTCCTGCAAAAGGAATTCGAACACGCTCCTTTCAATGGCTGTGAGTGGCAGTGAGTTCACTGCAGCAGCCTGCAGGAGTGGTTCCAACCCTGCTCGCAGGGTTCGCAGTTGATGCGGACCCTACGGGCTTCGATGATAGATGACAAATGCTTGTGGTGGCATCGTTGCTGTGCTTCGCTTATATATCATTTAGGTTGGGTCCGGCAGCAGGAAGTCACTGCCCGTAGAATCTGGGCTCTTCCCACCTATATAGACGGTAGTCAAGGAGTGGGTAGCTCCAGGAAGTGCAGACCAGTGCAGTCCTCAGATGTGCTTAGCTTCTAGATTGACTTCCTAGACCTTTAGATCTAGATCTCTAAAGCATGCCTGCAGGAATTGGCTTTGGCACTAAGAATTTCCCAGACTGCTTGCCTCAACGATTTTCAATGCCCAAAGGCTTTTGGGGAGGTTTTCTTTCCTTCAAAGTATGGCACCCAGAAACCGTCTCAAGTCGAACCTGAAAACGTTTGATGATATGCGGGATGACGATGAAGGCCCAAGTCAAAAGGTACTTAAACATGGCCACATCTTGCAGGTCTGCTTCAGAGCGAAAAGGGGTTCTTGAGTTGTAAACTGTATGTCGATTAGTTTACACTATCCACTTCTGATGTGCTGTTGTATTAGGACCCACTGTGCAAACGCACAGGACGACACATTGAACACACAGACAGAGTTGCCTGCATTCAAGGAGCTGGAAGCAATTGATTGCCATGTTTGTAAGGGCAGACCTACCTTGCAAGTAACATGCCCACGGAGCTTCACCAAGGGTGCATTTGATCACAAGACGATGTAGCAGGTTTAGAGTCCTGTGGACGCTTTTGCTTCTGTACAACCTTCAGGTAATACCAAAAGGTGCTGCTGAACATGGGTAGCAGGTGTCAGACTTGGGTTTCGCACCAGCCTTGTGCGCCAACGGAGGCCGACTTGATTATCAAATTTTCGAGGACAGGCAGAGTTTCTTCGAGCAGCCCGAACATGGCTTCTCAAAACACTTCATGCCAAACCTGCCCAGCATCTCTATACAGTTAACTTCAGTCTGATTTCTCTTCCAAATTGGTGAGCTTTGTGGATCAAGTTGCAGACCAACTGTTGACTTCTCAGTGGCTTAGCCAGCTTGAGACTCCTGATTACTTTTGTCACATTTGCACTTGGCACACCTGTCCTTCGGATCGAAAGGTATAGGATGTATGTAGATCAGTCATCCAGTCTACAGACTTTAACATTTACAGTATTCTTGCCGTTTCCAAGGAGCATAAAGCTGGACAATCTGGTATTTTCCCGGACTAGGATTATTGTCAGCAATCCAAAGACCTTACCGTCAGCCATGGAGACAGTTGCCGAGCCATCTCAGCCGGCAGGACATTGCCCCAGACTGAATGAGGATAGGTCATATCTACAGGGCGTTAATTGGCTTCATCCAATTTTAAGGCCATTTGTCGGTCTTCAAAGTGCTACAGTGCCAGAAGTGCTTTCAGGTTTGCTTGTGGCATTATGGCCTTCTCAGAGGTTTTGCTGTGCAAACATCCTTAAGATTTTTTCAAGGAAAAGTTGAGAAGCCCAAGAAAGCAGACTTTCGACAGCGTGCGCATTGCAACCCTCTTTGCGACTGGGGTGATTGCTATCCAGTTTTCTTGTCGGCACTTGACAAGCTGCAATCTTGAGATGATGCATCGCGCTTCCTGAAATTTGGCTTCAACTTCAACCTTTCATCGTGCGAAGGTTTCCCCTGATCACGTGGACTGGTCAGTCCATTTTCCCAAATTCTTCCCCAGCGACGGGAAAGACGAGTTGCTCCTCAACACTTCTGAATACCCCATTCAGATGCTCGTCTTACACCTTGCAATGAAGTGATTCTTATGACTTGTCTTGATCACTGAAGCATCATCAATGACCCGGGGTGCAAACAATAAGGTATCCACAGACTTCAGTACGCCCAGAATGCAGCGGCAAGGCCTGGCATCTGGCTATGGACCACTGGCAATTGACAGTCTGGCTCTTGACCGCCATGCCGCTGCAAACAAATTCCAAATTTCTGCAGGCTGGATGTCATCAGGTTCGATTCTTGGACGTGGGTTGTGGATTTGGAGGACTTCTCATGGCTTTGAGCCCCAAGTATCCAAACACGCAACTTGGATGACAGAGTTGGGGGAGAGGGTGCGTCCACAAGAATTTGTGCCACTCATGGATGGATTTGACCGGACTAGGCTGATGCTAGGCATGGAGATCCGAGAGCAAGTCACCAACTATGTGGGGAAGCGAATTCAAGCCATGCGGCAAGGGGCTGAAGGAGAACCATCCCATCACAACGTTTCGGCTCCTAAGCATGCAGAGAGAAAGATAGAGAGAGAGAGACATGACTTCACACATGGATGTGCAAGGTTATCCGAACGAATGCCATGAAGTTTCTGCCCAATTACTTTCGGTTGCTCAGCTGTAGTGAGTCAAGACATTGTGGCCAAGTGTTTAGTCGTGGAATTGGTGGAGGAAAGGCCAGCTGGAGAAGATGTTCTTTTGCTTCCCGGACCCTCACTTCAAACGACTCCAAGTTGCAAGGAAGCAATTGGACGGAGACGTGACGGAGACATGTTTTCTGGCTGCCTGAATTCGACTTCGTGATATGAGGAAAGAACGCCCGGAGGAGAATCATAAGCTATGGTTTGCTCTCTGTCTATGCATACTTGATGTCTCCCGGTGGGTTGCTGCGGCCTCAGGACCTCAGGTTTCTCATAGCTGTGTTTGAGCAGCTTCAAGTCTACTTACTACAGAGGAGAATCAACAAACAAACATCATTTTTGACGAGCGAAGCCTGTTCCAAAACATTCCAAACTACAGACTACATCATTGTCCATCATTCCGGTAGAGGTAAAGAATCATTGGTTTGGTAACATCTAAGGTTGTACCATGCTACTGACGTGAAGGAGCTTCATCAGTGGATGGATCAGGCATGTGAGGAGCATCCGCTTTTTGCTCGAGCATCAGCCTCAGCATGCGATGCTCGATGGCCATAGCCTCCCATTGCTTTGCAGTTCCTCGGTCTTTGTCGTGAGGTGCCTCAAGAAGAGATTAAAGATGATCCATGCGTGGAAGCTGTTACTTCAGAGACGGAAGAATCCAAGAGAGTTGGACCCTGAATTCAGTGGCCTTTCCGCGAGCTTGATACTGGAGTGCAGTATGCCATACAAACTGCCTCACAAAAATTTGCGAATATTGAGCGTAGGTCTACTCAAAGCTAGCTTTTCCAAAAATTGCAGTTGGACTGAGAGCCAATGGTTTCAGGTGAAGAACCTGGGCCGCTTTGGCCACGATGTACACTTGAGAGCCTCGACAGAAAGAAACACTTGGCTGCTGAAGTGTTGTTGATATTTTGCAGACAAATTCTTGCCCCACTTCAGGTGTCTTTCGCCGCATTAGCCCTGATGGCTGAGAAAGCATCGCAAAAAGTGCGTGCTGCTTTTGGCCGGCTGTGTTTGGATTGGACGTTCTACTCCTCTTGAGCAGTGAATTCCTGCAGTTCCGCAGGACGTGCCCCAAAATGAGTTTGCATGAAAGCAAGCCGACGCGAGAGCTGAAGCTCACAGAGTTCAGGCAGGTTTTGATGGCCGCGTCTCTTCTGTGACCTTGCTGCCCTGCATCCCAACAAAAGCCTTTTTCTGAGCAAAGAGAGAGAGAGAGAGAGAGTCTATGGATAAAGAGATGATACCGATGAGGTTTCGAGGGGTGTTCTTGGATGTCCTTCCACAGCTCGCTTGGCTCGAGCTAATATGAACTGTGCTTGCCAAATAGTTTTTGCTCCTGACCGACTCTGAACGCGGCAACAATGCTCAGCAAGTTCTTGAGCTGCTTCGGACTTTTGCTTCCAACTGTAGCATTGCGGGCCATTTTCGATGGAGAAGAGAGAGACACAGGCGAGAACACAGCTACACACTTATAGAAATGCGTACTGATGTGAATGCGGTGCCACATGCCAGCCTAAGTGAAAACAACTTGAGATACCAGGACAAGTAGTAGGTTAAAGACCATCACTTTTAGATAGTTGAAGGTCATCGCAAGGCCGTTGGAGGTCAACACCTAAGGTTGGAGGCCATCGCTAGTAGGTGGAAGGTAGTATGCACAAACCAACAAAAATGACAAGTAGTAGGTTAAAGGCCATCGCTTTTGGGTTGGAGGCCAACGCAAGGCCGTTGGAGGTCAACGCCTAAGGTTGGAGGCCGTCGCTAGTAGGTGGTAGGTAGTATGCACAAGCAAAACAAAAGTGACAGCGAGCAGCAAGGTTGGGGGTCACCACTCTTAAGTTGGAGGCCGACGAGGGCAGGTTGAGGGGCCACCGCTAGTAGGTTGGTGACAAGAAACATAAGAAGCACAAGACACACAAGACAGCCAAAGTTAGGGGCCAATGCTAGTGGGTAGAGGCCAAAAAGTTCGGGTTGAAGGTCCACGTTACAAGATTGGGGGCCAAACCTATAGAGTAGACTAGAGGAATACAGAAGGAAAGGCACCGACACACACAAGTGTGTCGAGTACCATTTCCTCCTGTTTTCCTAAATAGTGGAGCAGGTACGCAGGGCTGATCAGGCCCTGCTGACCACTCTCGCCCACAGCTTCGTTGCGTGAGGTAGGGCGAGAGTGCCACACGCCCCTGCTCCAAACCGAAAGGTTCCCTGTGAATCCAAGGGTTACACACACACACACACCCACACGCACGTGAACACGCGAAGATGTGTATATAATATAATTACTGCACATACAAAGATATATATATATATATATATATGTATATTTGTTAACTTACACTTATTGTATTTATATATTGAGCTTGTCCGGCTACCCTTAACAGTCAGCAAACAGTTGTCACCATTTTGATGAAAAAATCATCAACCACTGTTACTGGTAATAGGATAGGCCCAATTCATATACTTATTTATGTGCTTGTTTATGCATACACACGTAGGTAAAACAACATAACACAACAAAGCAGAACAGAACAGAACAAAACAGAACAGAACAAAACAAAACAGAACAAAATAGAACAGAACAGAACAGACATATATACATACATCCATGCATACATACATGCATACATACATGCATAGATAGATAGATAGATAGATACATAGATAGATACATACATACATACATGCATGCATACGTACATGTGTATTTGCCGTACATGTGTATTTGCCGTACAACACAGTCAGAAAGAACAGAGTAGGTGTTTTTTTGAAACATGTTCTTCGCACCTCTTCGCATTGCTAGCTGTGTGCAGGAGGACGTGGCATCATCCCTCACAGGCGTTTGGTGATGGTAGTGTATCCAGCCATGGCCGTAGCGGCAGTTCTTTTCATTTGCCTGTTTGTCACTGCGCTGGGCAGAGCACCCGGAGAGCGCAAGAAGACCGGCCGAAAATCAATCAAGGCAGCTGTCAGAGTCGAGTGCCGTGCACAATTTTTTGATCAAACAGTTTTTTAGCAGACAATACCCTACCGGGACCGAAACGTGGCTACAGGACTACAGATTGATGCAGCATCTGGGTGTTAGCGATGCAGTGGAAGAGCTTCACCCAGAGACCAGTTTCACAGAAGATTTCGGCAAGGCTTGTTGCAAGAGATTCGTGTTTTTGTCCGCCTTGAGTGGATGTTTGTGTGGCCCCTCTTGCGCCACATGGTCACCTTGAGGGCTTTACAAATTCCGGTCGCGCACAACATACAGCATGCCGAGAGCATCTCACAATCATTAATGTATCAGCGTTGTGTTGCACTCGCCAGGCCAAGACTTGCTTAAGAACAGGATTTTCGCACCGCTGCTCACTCCATTGTTCTATGCCTTTCTGCCCTGAAGCTACCAACCCCTTGTCCTAAATGCGCCGCACCTCGCAATATTGCACTTTATGTATGTGTATAAAACTACTCACCTGAGGCCTGCCCAGGTTCAGTAGAAACACCTTTGAACTCATGGGTTGCACATCAGAAGGGGCAGCAGCATGCAAGGCCTTACTTTCGACAAACATATCAAAGCCGGAACCAGTAGATGGATAAGCTATAGCAAAGTAAGGCTTTGGTCATTGACTACATGTAGTTTTCAGGGTTGCCAGTCAAATATTCCGAGCAAGTCTTTTTCTTTGTCAGTGCTGCAAGGCCTTTACACGGCCTCGGTTGTTCGCTTTTTTGGTGGCAATTGCCTTGACCTTTGCCCTAGCTGTCTTTGGAGACAATAAGCTTTTTGCCGTTGAGCATTCCTTGGCAAATGTTGCTTCAGTGGAAGCTTGTCAAGCAGCCTGCTCCGCAAATCCTTTGGCGTGACCCGGCCAAAGGTTTTCAAACAATGTCCCGACGCTGGGTAAGCGGCTAAGCCTTCTGCGAAGCTTGTTCATAAGGCATTGTGACAGCCTGAAGTTCGAGAAGAGATTTTGCACTCCGTTGGGCAAGTATTGCGGCCTGGCGACGCTTAAGCATGTTCAATGTGCCCCCTCTCGGCGCCCCTCACACACTCACGTCGTATCTTGTGGACACCTAGCAACCACTGCAAACCTCTGCCCGACTAGGCGCTGCACAGAAGTCTAAATCGAGTACAGTAGAATTTGTCATGCCCTTAGCGTTTCACGTCGATGCCAAGTTGATGCCAAGTTGATGCCACGGATTTACGAGTGCTTGTTTTATGGAACACTTGCCTCAGGTCTCCTGTAGCTTCAGCATTGTCCCCGAGGCGCCTGCGGGTTAGGGCCTTTAATGGTGGCATCGGTCAGAAGATGCAAACTGGACAAGACTAGAAACGGAGTTGATGACTTGAGAGTTGGGAGCCGAGCCCTCAAACCAGCTTGTGTGAGCTATGTTGCAGTGACTGCAGGCATGGAAAGTTGATTTGGTCGTCATGTCAGCGATCATCGGCATATTTTTGATTGTTGATGGCTTGTCTGCAGAGCTCATCCTCTTTGGGCTTAGCTGCATTTATGGAATTTTTGGCGTTATCAGCAAGAAAGAGGTGGGATCCTTAGTGACAAATATACTCCACCCACACGAGTAGTTTTTTGGTGGTGGATAGGTAAAAAAAGAAGTGAAGAGCCGTTTTAACAAGGCCTTTTAAATCTTTACATTATATTCATCATTTGTTTGTTTGTTTGTTTTTCCCGAATGCGTAGCGAAGGGTTCTCGTTTAACTCTTGGGGGTCTGGGGGTGGAGCCTTGTTCGTGACCCGTTGTTTCTAAGTTCGCAACCGTCCGCAACCGTCCGCAACCGTCCTCAACCGTCCGCAACCGTTCGCACCGTCCGCAACCGTTCGCAGTAGAGCGCTAAGGCGCTGCCATTGGGGGAAGCTTTTGCAAGTGACTATTCATGGATGTGTCACGTGTCAGTTGGCGCCGCTATTCTATTGTGACTTGCATGAAAAAGACATGTCGCGCAAGAAACGTGATGCGTTTCGCTGCACAGGCGCAGCGTTTGGTGAGATCTGCAGATTGCTGCGCAGTTCCATTGAGATTAGCGTTTGGAGAGTCGTGTTTTTGGGGTGTTGGATGTGGCCGTGCCATTGGGATTTGCGTTTCAGATCAGGGTGTGGCATCGAAGCTCTGTTTTCGTGACAAGTCTCAGCTGAAATGGCGATTTTGGTGGATGGGAGTATGCTCAGAACGGGTCGAAATCATTCCAAACGTGTGGTGTGGTGCAAATGTTGTTGAAGCTCACATGAGATGATATTGTCACTTTTCGTGGCAGGCGCAGTACTTTGTGCGGATTTTGAGGTGTGGAAGTGCGATTTTCGTGGCAGGTGCCGGGAATCGTGAGGTTGCGAAGTGTGACGGAGGTGACATTTCGTGGCAGGCGCAATACTTTGTGCGCGTTAGACGTGTGGACGCGGAAAGATTCGTGGCAGGCGCAGGGAATTGTGAGGGTGTGAGTTGTGGTAGAGGTGAATGTCGCTGTCACAGTGGGGATTGGCGTGTGAGCGGATGTTGTTAGGGGCTGGAATCGCGAAACTGCTTGGCAGGGCTGCGTGATGTGTGTGCTCCGATGGGTGTTTCCGCTGGACTTTTGGAGGAAGTCTCGTACGAAATGCTCGTTTTGCAGACTTTGACATGTGAGTTTTGGAGGAAGTCTCGTACGAAACGCTCGTTTTGGAGACTTTTGGAGGAAGTCTCGTACGAAACGCTCGTTTTGGAGACTTGAC